TCCACCTGCAGCCAACCTGCAGGGCAGGGCAGTGCAGAATTTTTCACCCTCAGCCTCTGCCTGTGCAGAACAAAAGATTTTTTTGGTAACCTGCAAACTGCAACGCGGATAAATTTTATTTTACCCCAGCGCGGTATCGCGCAGGGGCGAAAAATTATGCAGGCGATCAGCTCTGAATGCTATTTAAGAGAATATTTCACTAATAAAATACATAAAATTGAGATAACTCCTTTTAGAATGAGTTTGATAGGCCCCAATAGTACGGTGGGAATCGGAAGTCTAGAGATCAGAGCTTGTTTAACTGTACATAGCAAAGTCTATCGTTATCTCTTACTCAAATGGTTCTTTTAATTTATTTGTTATATTGATGCTCTAAAAATCGCCAGGAATGACTATTTCTTTTCTTTCATCTTATTAGTAATTTGCTTTCTTTTGTCAGTAAAAACAGACAAGGTTAATCAAATTTTTTGACAGATTTCTTTCGAAGTTTGTTTTGGAGAGTACATAAAAATTGATAATGTGAATAAAACTTAAGGATTGTGGCAGTTGCTATATGGGTAAAATAGCGAGATATGTGTGTCGTAGACTAGTAGAACATAATGTATCAGGAAATCATAATGTATAAAATCATAAAAGAATCGTTAGCAGATATATATACTGTAGTGCATTTGTGAGGGTTCATATATCCAATTTTGCTTACGTTAGTATCGCTGTTACCCACATGTTTTTTCTTGATAATGACAAATATTTTGTCGAAACGTCAAAATAAAAACAACATTTGGATTGATAAAATGCGATTTAAATTAGGTGCTGCATTAATATCTGCAATTCTAAATTTATTGCTTCTAAACTGTAAAAATACTCAGCATCATTATGTTTTTACTCGATATCAAAGCTGGAAAATCAATCCGCGTAGCGAACCATCACTTTACTTACCCATAGAGAAACACTGAGGGCAACGAGGGAACGTGTCCAGCTGTATTTTCAATCCATTATGCTTGTAGCTAGATGAGAGTGTCATGTTAAAAAGCCTTGATTACTTCTTTTAAAAGAATTTTTTTCTCTCGCTATCTAGGAATCTACAGAAACACTAAAGTATAGTGATAAAAACAGGAAACCAAGAACCCAAATTTGTTTCTTTAAATGAGCTAATGATCTGTTAAAATCAATGAAATATTCCACCTCTCAATTTTGCTGGGTAATAAGTAAGGTGCTCGCAGTTCAAAAATGCAGCACTATCTTAGCTTTTGGTCGAAAGCTACATATCCAGATACTCCTGGCTACGCTGATTCCGAATATCACCTTTTTTTTCGAATTCGATCAAGTTTTGGGGGAGAAAGCGGGAGAAAAAAACTGAGTCTAATCGTGTACCTTTGAGTTACAAAAAACAAAATACCTGTGTTGCACAATTTTAGCAAGAGTACGTGAATGTAAACGAAAATTTCCGACTAACATCACTTATAACTCTAGTAAAATAAAGCGGATCACTTTCGAAAGTTATAAACTTTACCTAATAAATTGTTATCAATTCTATCATAAGATGTAAACTTAAATTCTCTATAAACCGTATATATGGATTAAAAGTTGAAAGTTTAGACGTTATATGAACTTTACGTTCAGACTTTGATTCCTTGCAAACCGTTTGGATCAATTTTCTAATCAATAGTCTGGCATCAAAAAACTACATAGTTCAAATTCTACAACGCTGGTTATGGTTAGGTTTCGCCCTCTTTTTATTTATGATACATAAAATATAATAAAAAATAAATGGGACATAAGTCAAGTTTTTACCACTCATGAACAAAAAAAGTACTTTTTGTCTTATCATAGTAGCTTGTAACCGTACGAATGGCAAATAATAACCATTATGTTATTTGGGATGATGATAATAAAACACCATCAACTAATTTACGATTTTTCGATGTACAAAGTGGGTTGAAATTTTGGTTATTTTATCCTACATCCCAAACGGATAAACCTTAAATTAATCAAGCGACATTCTTATTATGAGTTGGAATATGAGACTGTTATTACCAGCAACACAAATTCAAGTATTAGGTAAAATAAAACCATCATCTGATCTACATATTATACATCTAAAAGAAGTTAAATCACCACATCCCTTATTGCAGTCATCATTTAGTACATTATCGATAACATCACTAACGGCACCAAATCCAATAGCTCAGGATATAAAAGTAGCAGCAAAAAATGGAAGCAATTCAGCGTCGGTGACCGAGCTATACGAAAATAAACCATTAAAAAAGACTCTAGACACTATGAAAGGTTCGCCAGCATTAAATTTGTCGAAGAAACAGTTAAATGATGATGATACGAAGATTGTGGCTAACGATATTAAAATAAATAGTACACGGAGTAATATATCGTTAAATGATAACCAAATAACGTCAATTGGTGCCCAGTATTTAGCTAAAGCATTTCAAACAAATACAACGTAAGTTCATTTAAGTTTAGATGGCAATCAGTTCGGTGATACTGGAACGAAGTGGCTTGCTGAATTATTGGAATTAAACAAAAAAGATAACAATTTTATCTCTGCGATCAAACAATATAACAGATGATAATATGAAGTATTTAGCCAAAACGGTAGAAACAAATAAAACATTGACACAACTTTTAGTAGATAATAATCAAATAGGTGATAGAGGTATGACATTACCACATTTAAAATAAATGAATCCTTACATGTACTAAATATGACGAATAATAAATTAACACATGAATGTGCTGATTCTATAATCAGTATACTACGAGTAAATGCAACATTAGCTTCATTACGCATTTGTAATAATCAAAAAAACACAAACTGG